GTTTTCCTTATTGGACATCAATTAAAGCTCTTCTTGTGGCAAGAAAAGGTCTCCCTAAAATTATGGTTATATCATAATCTTCTTCCATGTCCAAAACGATGAAGTCAACAGGAAAAATAAATTTATCTACTTTTACCAAAACATCTTCCACTACTCCCCTTGGATATTTGATACTTCTATCAGCTAATTGTAGAGAAATAGTGGTAGGTGTTGGCTCCTTCAACCCAAGCTTCCTAAAGACAAAAAAAGGCATCAAATTAATGCTTGCACCAAGATCACATAAAGCCTTATCAAAATTAATTTCGCCAATGATGCACAGAATAGAGAAGCTCCCTAGATCCTTGAGTTTTGGAGGTAATTTATTTTGTAGGATTACTGAGCATTCATCATTAAGTTTTACCATTTCAAACTCCTCCAACTTTCTTTTGTTTGAAATTATTTCTTTTAAAAATTTGGCATAACTTGGCATCTGAGAAATAGCATCAAGAAGAGGAACGTTAATATGAAACTTTTAAAACACCTCTAGAAATTTAGCAAATTGCTTATCCAAGTTAGCCTTAAGAAATCTTTTAGGAAAATGAAGAGTGGGTTTGTAGGATTTTAAATTAAGAGTAGAAGAACTTCCCTTTTTCTCCATTGATGACTCGTAGTCTCCTTCTTTAGCTTCAAGGTTTCAACTTTCTTCCTCTTTTACCTGCTCATCATCTTTTTCTTCTTTTCTAAGTTCTTTTCCACTTCGCAGAGTGATGGCCTTTACTTGTTCCCTAGGATTCTTCTCGGTATTGCTAGGTAATCCTCCTTGTGGCCTTGTCGAAATTGCTTGAGCAAGTTGTCCAATTTGAGTTTCTATCCCTTGAATTCTTGCCTCTATACTGTTGATAAATTTTGCCATCATACCCTCTAAATTTGGCTTCTTCTCTTATGGATTTTGTTATGGTTGCTACTGAAAGCCGGGAGGTGCTCTTTGTTGGTTATTACTCCAAGAAAAATTTGGATGGCTTCTCCATCCTAGATTGTAAGTGTTGGAGTAGGGATTGAAATTGGACTTGTTTCCACCATAAGAAACAAAATTAGCTTGTTCAGAAGAAGAAGAAACAGGATTTCCTACTTGACAGTCTACACTAGCGTGTCCCCCTTGCCCACAAAGCTCACAAGAAGGGAAAGGAACAGAAGAAACACTCATAGCTGAAACCCCCAAAATTTCTAATTTCTTATTTAATGCAGCAAGTTGAGCCGATAAAGCAGTGAATCAACATTATAAATTCCAACTCCCTTTTTATTTGCTCTCTCATTGCCCCATTGATAGCTATTGGTTGCCATCTCCTCCAAAAGTTCATATGCTTCTTCGAGAGTCTTTCTCATAAGGGTACCACCTGTAGCTGCATCTAACATTGAACGATTAGATTGATTAATGCCACTATAAAAAGTTTGCACTTGCATCCAAACAGGTAGACCATGGTAAGGACACTTCCTAAGAAGTTCCTTAAATCTCTCCCACGACTCATATAAGGTTTCATTATCAAATTGAGAAAAAGTTGTTATGTCATTCTTTAATTTAGCCGTTTTAGCAGGTGGAAATTATTAGATAAAAACTTTTGTGCCAAGTCATCCCATGTAGTAATCGAACATGCCAAATCATCCTAAGTCTAATGGCATCATCACTAACTCCATTATGCTTAAAACTATCACATATTTCAAGAAAATTAGCAATATGAGAGTTAGGGTCATCATTGGGGCCAGAAAATTGCACACTCATCTGGATCATCTGAATAATTGCAGGTTTGATCTCAAAATTATTTGCTTGCACATTCGGCCTCCTAATGCTTGATGTAGTACCATCCAGAGTAGGTATAGCATAGAAGATCAATGTCCTTGGATTATTTTGGTCTTGAACCATCTTGTTCTTTCTCTCCCTCGTTCACTTTTTCAAAGTCCTTTCAATTTCTTCATCAAGGGGTATTAATTCTCCACCACTAGTGCATGTCATGCACTGGGAACCTTCAAAGAAAAGAAAAAGAAAGAGAAAAAAATTTAAAAATTTCCTAAAAACTTTTATAAAGCTGAACCCAACAAAAATTGAAATGGAAAATTTTAAATACGAAAATAAAACAAATAGATGTTCAATCTAAGGCTAATTCAGGTAGTTTTGATATGCAATAAACTAGTCCCCGGCAACGGCACCAAAAACTTGTTGTGTGATTTATGTATAGTTAATTCAGGCAAGTGTACCTTAGTCAAATGTGCATATAATGATGAAAAAAGTGTCGATCCCACAGAGACTAGATCATAGTACCAAATCAATTTTAAACTAACCTAAGTTGAACTTGTGAATCAATTGAATGAATAAAAACTAAAAGAATTAATGCAAATCCAAGATTTTAATAAAAACAGAACTGATGGATGAATGCAGCTAGGGTTTAGATTTCATTAAATCAATGTTATATAATTATCTATTTAATCCAACTCAAGACCGAAATTACCTTAAGGTATATTAAAGTTATTTGCATGTGATGATGGATTTCCCTAAATTAATTAATAAGCTTTCCCAAGTCATATTAACCCTTTATTAATTCAATTCTACTATCAAATTTCTAAGTGGCTGTCAAAAGGAAAAATAAGCATTAATTTCTTTGGAAACCTCTAATCGTAGAAGGGGATTTGACTCACTAAGCTTCATTGATTCCCACACATGAGCTAATCATCTTTCAATATCATAATCGATCATGCGATTTTTATTGCTTAGGGATCTATTCATAACAATCCTTTGGTCAGTCATGCATGAATCATCAAATCATTAAAAGATTAGCCAATTATTTTAAAGCATTAAGCATAACAATAAAAATTCCTCATGCAAATAATAAAGGTCTTGAATTCAATTAAACAAATAACTATATAATCTTAAGATCAAAATCCATTTAAACCCTAGCTAAGAGAATTTAGCTAGACATCACTAAATTCAACATACTCAAGAAAATTAAAGGGGAAACACAGCAAAAACACATCAAAGAATGAATAGAATAACAAGAAAATTTTAGCCTTTGGAGGTCGAAGACAAGTGCAGCAATTAAGTTTTTCTCCCTCTTGAATTCGGATTCTTCCTCTCTTTCTCTAGCGTGCTGAAATTGCTTCATCATCTCTTCTGATGTGTTGAAACTACTTCCTCTTCTCTTCTCTACTGAATTCTCTCTAAGGATATGCCCCTTTGCCTTGAGTCTATGGTCCTTTTTATAGTGCAGCCTCCCCTCAATTGCTTCTCAATGCAGACTCCTAATTCAACACAAATTAGGTCTCTTAGTCTTTATCTCAGTCGAATTCCTATCTCTTCTGCATTGCCAACTGCTAGACCCAAAACTTGAAGCTTGAATTGCACTTAGTTGGAGGAGGAATTAGGTTGAGTGATAAACACAAGAGCTCTAGCCCTATCTCTTATCTTTAATTATCCATTTGAATCACCTCAATTCGAGTTGTAGGAAGAAAATTATGCCCAAAATATGAGAACTATATCAAAACAGAAAATTTCCCGATTTTTGTGCATACATATCAGATCCGATTTCAATGGATTCTCTCCTTCATGGCTACATCATGGAGCATCATTGCTGCATGGTCCCTCTTCTCTGATTATCTTGATCAATTAAATCGAACTCCTCCTTAAAATTGCACAATTAAACTCCAAATCATCTTGCAAGACAATTTCATCATAATCAATGCAATACCATGCTAATTCCAAAAAACATTATTACCAAAATCATCAAATTAGAGGTATGAAAATATGTACAAATATATGCTTATTACCCACGAGTGTGTAAAAAGACTAAAATAACAAAAAATTAAAAAAGTTTCAAATGATTTTTCAGCACGAAGCAAACCAAACAACCTTGATCTTTCAAGACAAGACCCCAAAAGATGAATGCGTCTTTTCGTCTACCGGGTTGTTGAAAGATATTGCCTAAGAATACTTACCAAACAACCCTTAGGTAAATATTTTAGGGGAATCTTCGGTCAGCTCCCCTCAGAAGTCGAAAATTCAATTAAGGACGTACAGAAACCTGATTCACCTATTAAATGCAAAATTTATTTCGGCTCCCCCTCCCCCACCACGTCAGATAAGTGAAACTTTCGATCCCATTATACCCCTTATATCCCAACGAAAATCTTCTTCATTCGAACCGAACACAGCAGCGGCCATCTTCCAACGGTAATCTTCTTCTTCACTCGAACCGAACACACCAGCGGCATTCCTGTCGTCTTCTTGCTCACCCCCTTCTTCATCATTCGAACCGAACGCAGTAGCATCACCCCATTCCTTATTATAACCGAACGCAGCAGAGGCGTCTCCGTCGTCTTCGGTCAACTCACCCCAGGCGAAACATCTTCTTCCTGGAAGAACCGATCCAACAGTATCTTCTTCTTCCTCGAAGTTACCGTTCTTCCTCATTTGAACCGAACACAACAGTTTCACCCCTGTTTCTCAGAGCCGAAAGGTACAATATCTTTCCATCATCTTCTTCCCCATTTCGAAACTACAACATTCACCCTCTTCTCCATTTCTCATTGTCGTTATCTCCATTTCTCAGAGTCGTTAATCACCAGAGGTTCATCTCTCATTGCCGGAGCTACAACATTTTCCCCATTTTCATAGTCGTTAATCAACGGAGCTTCAGAGCTTCATCTCTCATCATCGAAGGTCGTTAATCACCGGAGTTTCATCTCTCATTGTCGGAGCTACAGCGTTTTCCCCATTTTTCATAGCCATTAATCACCGGAGCTTCGGAGCTTCATCTCTCATCACCGGAGGTACAGCGTGTTTTTCGGTGCTTTGAGTGCGGTAAGCATCTAGTTGTGTCTGTATTCTGCACAATTCATTTATTTTGGTTTTGATGATTTCTTGGTTTTGTTGAGTGCTAACGGCTATAGCTTAGGCCTGGGTCCAGACCGATCCGGGGTTCCAGGCCTGAAACATAAGCCCTACCTCAGGTCTATACGGGTCCGGTTTGGGCCGGGCCTGATTGTAGGCTAATGTCACCCATATATAAAACATTACATATCTATATATTAAATGGCATAAAATGCATATAAACTTATTTTATACATTAATATAATATGAATTATATATGTCATGTTATAATATTTATATATAAAATATATAATATAATGTAAAGTAACATGTATATATATGTATACATTATACACAAAATGTATAAGTTTAAATATATGCAGGCCGGGCTTAGCCCAAGCCTGGTCTGAAAATTTGCGAACCTAATGTGGAATTGGGCCCGGGTTGTGCCTAAACACAAAACCCAGGCCGAAGCCTAGAATTTCTAGGCCGGGCTGAAATGATCACCCCTAGTGCTAATTGAGTTTTGTCATTCTTTATATATGAAATTTAAATAGTATTATAATTTTTTCTTACTTTTGCTAACAATAGGCTATTAAATTCTCGACAAAAAAATGTCAGGTGACAAAGTTGGGACTAGGTGCTCCTCGAAATGGTTTAGGGAAATGCTGCAGAGTTTGTCTCTAAGTTCGGAGTACAAGAGAAGGCTCTAAGAGACTCCCTTTGGACACTTTTTGGACCCCGACGCCCTCCCTTTGGGACCGTTTCGGGTAATTGGCAGAATCACCCGAGGGCCGATCCGGTGGGTTAGGAGGGGTGTGATGGCCACCAAACCCATTGCCCCCACTGCCACTCACCCACCGAGCATTCCGACACCTTCCAATCACCCATCGGCCCGATGGCTCGGGCCAACGATGGGCGTCTCCGCTTCATCTAGGTACTTATAGGGGACCTTCCCCCATCCCCGTGGAGGTGGTTCCGCCACCCAACTACACTCATACCCCCCCTCCGAGACCGTTTATAAGAATTGGCCAAATCGCCCGGAGGTCGATCCAGCGGGTGCAGAGGGGTGGGATTTCCCCCAAACCCACTCCCCCAATTTCTAGTCACCCACCGAGCATCCCAACACCTTCCAATCGCCCATCAACCTGATGGCTCGGGCCGACGAAGGGAAATAGTGGTTCTACAAAAGCACCGTTTTCTAGCGTCGAACTTCCCCGTTGGCCTGGGCCGTCTCCGCCTAATCTAAATAGTTATAGGGGACCTCCCCCCACCCTGTGGAGGTGGTTCCGCCGCCCAACTACCCTCACGCACCCCTTCCAGGACCGTTTCTGTAAATTGGCCCAATCACCCGGAGGCCGATCCAATGGGTGTGGAGGGGTGGGATTTCCACCAAACCCGCTCCCCCTACTGCCACTCACCCCCCGAGCATCCCAACACCTTCCGATCGCCCATCGGCTCGATGGCTCAAGCCGACGGAGGGAAATGGTGGTTCTACAAAAACACTGTTTCCCACTGTCGGCCTTCCCCGTTGGACCGGGGTGTCTCCGCCTCACCTAGGTACTTAAAGGGGACCTCCCCCACCCAGTGGAGGCAGTTCTGCTGCCCGACTACCCTCGCACCCCCCCTCCGGGACCGTTTCTAAGAAGTGGCCCAATCGCCCGGAGGCCGATCCAGCGGGTGTGGAGCGGTGGGATTTCCACAAAACCCACTCACCCATCGAGCATCCCGACACCTTCTGATCGCCCATCGGCCCGATGGCTCGAGCCGACAGTAGGAAACGGTTGTTCGGCAAAAGCATCGTTTCCCACCGCCTACCTTTCCCGTTGGCCCAAGGCGTCTCCAACTTATTTGGGTACTTATAGGGGACCTCCCCTTCCCTGTGCATGTGGTTCTGCCACTCCACTACCCCCGCGCCCTCCCTCCAGGACCGTTTCTAGGAATTGGACAAATCACCCGGAGGTCGATCCGGCGGGTGTGGAGGGGTGTGATGACCACCAAACACACTCCCCCTACTGCCACTCACCCACCGTGCAACCCTACACCCTCCGATCACAAATCAGTTCGATGGCCCGGGCCGACGGTAGGAAATGGTGGTTCTACAAAAGCACCGTTTCCTACCATTGGCCTTCCCCGTTGGCCCAGGGCGTCTCCGCCTCATCTGAGTAATTATAGGGGACCTCTCCCCTCTCTGTGCATGCAATGGCCACCAAACCCACTCACCCACTGCCACTCACCCACCAAGCATCCGGACACCTTCCGATCGCCTATTGGCCCCATGGCCCGGGCCGACTGTGGTTCTCCAAAAGCACTGTTTCCCACCGTCGGCCTTCCCCGTTGGCCCAGGGCGTCTCCGCCTCGTCTGGGTACTTGTAGGAGACCTCTCCCCTCCTTGGGCATGTGGTTCTGCAGCTCGACTATCCCCACGCCCTCCCTCCGAGACCATTTCTAAGAATTGACCGAATCGCTCGGAGGCCGATCCGGTGGGTGCGGAGGGATGTGATGGCCACCACACCCAATCCCCTATAACCACTCACTCACCGAACATCCCGACACCTTCTGATTGACCATCGGACTGATGGCCTGGGCCGACGGTGGGAAACGGTAGTTCTACAAAAGCATCGTTTCCCACCGTTGGTCGGGGCATCTCGGCCTCATCTAGGTACTCATAGAGGACCTCCCTCCAATCTCGTGGAGGTGGTTCCACCGCCCAACTACCTTCGCGCCCCCTCTCCGGGACTGTTTCTAGGAATTGTTTAAATCGCCTAAAGGCCGATCCAGCAGATGCAGAGGGGTGGGATTTCCACCAAACCCCACTAACCCTATTGCCACTCACCCACCAAGCTTCACGACAACTTCCGATCGCCCATCGGCCAGATGGCTCAGGCCGACGGTCAGAAACGGTGGTTCTACAAAAGCATTGTTTCCTAGCGTTGGCCCGTGGTGTCTCTGCCTCATCTAAGTACATATAGAGGACCTCCCCACACCCCGTGAAGGTGGTTCCGCCACCCGACTACCCTCGCACCCCCCCTTTGGGACCGTTTCTGGGAATTGGCCCAATCAAACGGAGGTCGATGCAGTGGGTGTGAAGGGGTGAGATTTCAACCAAACCCACTCCCCCATACTATCACTCACCCACCGAGTATCCCGACACCTTCCGATCGCCTATTGGCCTGATGACCCGGGCTAGACCTGTTCATGGGTTAGGTCGGGCCAGGCTCGGGTCGGGCTTTTACTCTTAATGAATAGAAATTTGTTAGGCCCGAGCTCGAGCCCGGCTCGACCAACGGGCCTACAACTTGGGCCCGAGCCCGAGCTTTTACTCACCACCGGTGACTGTGTTCGTCGGAGCTGAGTTCGCGGTGAGCTACGATTTTAACAATGAAAAGTGTGTTAGTTCACGTCTTAGAGAGAGAGAGAGATAAAGAAAGAGAGAGAAAGAGAGAGAGAGAGAGAGAAGAGAGGACTAACCACCAGAGTTGTTGTGTTGGTGAATGTTCGCAGGCTCGCCAGTTGTGTGGCTGCCTAAGAGTATGAGGACTGAGGAGGAAGTGAAGAGAAGAGAGGTTCGACTAAGGGGAAAGAGGTGAAAGAGAAGAGAGGTTCGGCTTAGGGATTTTTAAGTTTAGTCTATAGGTCGGGTTGGGCTATTTTGCCAAATCCCGAGCCTGGCTTGAATTTATTGTGGGTCAGGATTTTTGGCCCGAGGTTAAGCCCACGGGCTCATTTGCATGTTCAAGCCCGTTCGAGGGCCAGGCTGGGCCAGCCCGTCGAACCACCCAGCCCATGAACAGGTCTAGCCCGGGTTCGTCAGCCTTCCCTGTTGGCCCGGGGCATCTCGGCCTCATCTGGGTACTTATAGGGTCCTCTCCCCTCCTTATGCATGTGGTTCCGTCGCTCGACTACCCCTGCGTCCTCACTCCGAGACCGTTTCTAGGAATTGGCCGAATCGCCCGGAGGCCGATCCTCCAAGTGCGGAAGGGTGAAATTGACACCAAACCCACTCCCCCCTATTGCCACTAACCCACCGAGCATCCCAACACCTTCCGATCGCCGATCGGCCCGATAGCCCGAGCCAACAGTGAGAAACATTGGTTCTGCAAAAGCACTGTTTCCCATCGTCGTCCTTCCCCGTTGGCCTGGGGTGTCTCCGCCCGATCTGGGTATTTATAGAGGACCTACCCCCACCCCATGGAGGTGGTTCGGCCGCCCGACTACCCTCGCACCCCACCTTCGAGACCGTTTCTAGGATTTGGCCCAATCGCCCGGAAGCCGATCCAGAGGGTGCGGAGGGGTGGGATTTCCACCAAACTGACTCCCCCTACTGCCACTCACCCACTGAGCATCCTAACACCTTCCGATCGCCCATCAACCTGATGGCCCGGGCCGATGGTGGGAAACGGTTGTTCTACAAAAGCACTGTTTCCCACCACCGGCCTTCCCCGTTCGCCTAGGGCATCTCCTTCTTATCTAGTTACTTATAGGGGACCTCTCCCCTCCCTGTGTATGTGGTTCCGCCAGTTGACAACCCCCTACGCCCTACCTCTGGGACCATTTCTGGGAATTGGCCGAATCACCCGGAGGCTGATCTGGCGGGTGCGGAGGGGTGTGACAGCCACCAAACCCACTACCCCTACTACCACTCACCCACCGAGCATCCCGACACTTTTCGATCGCCCATCAGCCCGATGGCCTGAGCTAACAATGGGAAACGGTTGTTATGCAAAAGCATTGTTTCCCACTGTCAGCCTTCCCCGTTGGCCAGGGCATCTCTACTTTATATGGTTACTTATAGGGGACCTCTCCCCTCCCTGTGCATGTGGTTCTGCTACTCGACTACACTTGCGCCCTTCCTCCGGGACCATTTTTGAGAATTGGCCGATCTAGTGGATGCAGAGGGGTGCAATGGACACCAAACCCACTCCCCCTACTGCCACTCACCCACCGAGCATACCGACACCTTCCGCTCACC